TCGAGGGGTGTCATGTCTGGGCCGCCACGGCCGCCGTAGAGGAAGATGCGGCTGCCGATGACGGCGGTGGCGTGGCCGACGCGGGGGCCCGGGACGTCGCCGAGGACAGGGGGTTCGGGTAGGGCGGGGCCTTTGCCTTTGTCTGCCGCCGTAGGCGCACTTGTGGTCTGCTCGCCAGCTCTGAGGGACGAGTATTCTTCTCCTTCTTCTCCGGCGACGCCTGGTGAGGCGAGAGACACCTCGTCGAGGAGCTGTTGCTTCAGAGCAGCCTTCTCCTCGACGTCGTCGCCGGACGCCTTAGGCTTCTCATCGTCAATCTTCTCCTCCGTCTGCGTCGTGGTGGGCTCGGGGTCGGCGGGCGGGGTATACTGCTTTGCTGGGGCAGACGTGATCTTGTAGTAGTCGGCACCGGCGCTGTTATAGGGAAGCCTGATAACGTGGACGTCGTTGTCGACGGGTTCGCGGGGGTTGACCTCGCCGCCAAAGACGTAGGCGGAGCCGTTGACGACGTTGACAGTGTGGGAGGAGCGGGCGAGAGGCGGGACGTCGATTCGTTCCCATGTCCCCTTCATGGGCTTAGGGCCGGTGCCGCTGGACAGAGACGGCCTCTTGACATTGGGCATATTGGGTAGGTTCTGCGGGAGAGACTGGAGTATCTCGGTCGTCCGCCGCTTGAGAGCTCCAAAGGACTCCATGATTGCTGTCTGGCGCTGCTTCAGGATATGGAATATCGTATGCCAGATGATTAAGAGGAAGGAGAGAAAAGAGTGTGGGGAATTGGGTCGAGATGAAGTCGGGTTTGTATGCTGACTGTATTTGCTGATGTGATGTTCGAGGATTGGCCTTAATGATATGACGTAGCGAAGCGGTCCTCTACTCAGCTCAGCTCAGGGTACCTCTTTTTCGGTGGGTTGTAAGCGGGCAGTGTAAACAAGCTCCGGATGCGGATCGAACGGCGATGAATGGGTGAAAGAGGGAGCAAGAAGGGCAATGGAAGGTAAGGCATATGCTGGCCCAACAGATGATATGGGAGATGGATAATTGGCAAAGAGAATTTCCCCCTTTCTAAACTATCCAAGGTAAGGCAGGTTGCCATCTCGTTCTCTCGTATCACACAGGCGCTTGTTGCCAACGGCGCGGGCTTTGTGCGATGGTGGATGGCTCAGCTTGCAGAGGGAAGCGGGGTGCGGGCGCAGGCTTCCAAGAGCTACCCGTCCTGTTCGTCCTATCAGAGATGTCAGATGCACGTCTGCGGTGTATCTTAGCGGACGGAGCCAGGCACCTAGAGGTCGGCAGTGCTGCTGGTGGGGTTTCGTCGCCGGATTCTTAGCAGGGGACCTCCCGTTTTTGGGGGTTCACTGGTAGGAAGAGACCCTGATTCTAGGTGTTCCTCGGAGAACCAAGTGGGATTTGGGACTGAACGGAAGTGTACAGTCAGCCAACAGCCAACCTGTTTCGACCCGGGCAGCGATCCTTGGCTCTCGATCATCGCCGGGGAAACATACTCATCAAAACATGTTTCGCAAACTTTACAACAATAGCCCAGGGCATCCTTTTGTTGATCTCCGGGCTCATGGCAGCCCAACCGGGAGAACACCAATGGTGTCACAACATCTCCCCTCTGAACACGACTCAGCATGATCCCACCTTGGCCCCTCAATAGCTGTATATTGGAGACGGCGATGCCCAATCACGAGCTAATCCCATCGACAAACGATGGAATGCCTTACAGGCCACCCGTAACCAGCAGATATAGATCCCTCGTATTGCTCGTTCCTTGCATTCACTTTTGAGATTTGCGGGCCCCTGTACACCGAAACCGCCGAATCATCAGGCACAGGCCATTTCTATCGCTTTGTTCCTCACCTACCAGCAGCATGTGGTCATTATCTCAACATTCGCTCTTTGGGGAGCTTCAAGGCAGTTTTTGAAAGAGATATCCGGTTCGTTCGCTTGATCGTTTGACAGCTGGGCGCCTTTTCCTCACAATAACTACCTGCCTTAGGTAGGGAGAGAAACAAGTAAGGTCGGTGGGCAGGTATCATCTGCTTCGGTGCCTTCCATAAGATACCTTAAATACAAGGTAGGTGAATACAAGGTAGGTAGTCGCACCTGAAGTATGCCTGTCCGTCGGCTCTCCGGTCGGGGTGACCTCGGCCCCTCCGCGACAGCGACCACCCGGTTCCGCCGGACCTCTTGATCCACACCAAATCCGGTCCCGCAACCCAGCGCGGTCCGGATCCCGGACTAGGAAAATGGCAATGCCGACACCGCGCCGTGACGATTCGGAACGTACCAAGTAAGCATCCAAAATCACCCGCTGGACCGAGAGAACCGGCTTACGTAGCTGCTTACCGTGGCGTTCTTCCTCCGAGAAGGATCCCGGCTGGATTCCACCCCCTGCTGTTCCCAATGACGCGTGACAGCTTGTAAGTGCAGTTTTGCCCCCTTCCTTCAAAGAAGCAGAGTGTTCCAGAGCCATGGTCCGTCTTCAGCTTCTAGGTCCGCGATCCTACCTTTCATCAACCACGATCTCGGTAGGGCTGTGGCGTGTTGGACGTCCAGGCTAGCACTCAGCTATGGAGGAATACGAACCACACTTGCGTAAGGCTGTCAGACTATCATTCAAGATAGAATCTGAGACCGAAAAGCCCCTTACATTGAACATAGTCATTGAAGAACATCGTCATCAGTAGAAGCCAAGGGGAGAAAGTAAGACCTGGAGGGCTGCATCCTATGCTGGAACACGAGGCGGCGTACAGTAGCGCAGCAGAGAGAGCGTAAATGCCGGCACAGAGAGCCTCAGCCGCGAAAAGGCAACCTACCTACCTACCAGGCAGTAGACCTTTCCATTCCATCCAACTCTCCAAGGTCCAAAGCAGTAAGATGGCCGCCTCGCGCCGCCAAAGCTTTCACCATCGTCGTCATAGATCCCCAGCCCTGTTGGTTGTACCTTATTCTTGGGGGCCATGCCGCCATGCCATGCTTGCCATGATCACACACACACACCCCGATTTGCAACGTGCCATCCATCGAGCGCAAAGCTACCCTCAAGAAGGAACACATCCGCGGCACTGCCCATGCTTGGAAGGGAATAAAAAGAGCTCATCTAGATAAACGCTGCAGGCGCAGAGCCATCCATTCTGGAGCACTGTGCTTGCATCGGTCGGCTAACGTACCCACCGTAGCAGCCGCCGAGGCGCAGTCACCAAAAGTGAAGAAAAAGAAAAGAGTAGAAGTCGCAGGATGCAAGATGCTCGTTTCGCTTCGCGCACTCGCGCGCGGGATGGGGGAGGGGGGTAGGTGTGGGCAAGGACTCAAGACTTACACCGTAGATGTCTGTCCGTTGCTGGCAGACCAGCCCAGCCCCCCAAAGCCGGAGAACCGTTGGCGGTACGCGAAAGAGCTGCGTTGCGTGGCTAAGCCCCCCCGTCTCCCCCTTCGCATGCGGCACGCGGCGCGGGTGGGATAGCATGGCACGCATGGTAAGGTAGGGTAGGTAATCACTCTGTTCCATTCTCCGGGTGCTGATGTGTTCGATGGAGTTCAGCTTTGCATAGACCGGCCGGCCGGTGTGTCCAACGCGTACTAGTGCTGACGGCTTTTCGGTTCCGCCTTGAGGAGAGCGTGGGAGCTTCCCACGCTTCCCTCCCTCCCCGTCCCGTCTTAGCCCTCTCGGTCTCTGTCTCTCGATCCGTGTCTTGTCCTTTTTATTGACCTCCGTGTCTCGTCTTCTCTTTTCCTCTACTACCTAGTACCTAGCGTTCCATCTGGGCCGCGCCGCTGCGGCCAACAGCCAACGCCAGCGCGCAACCACCCTATGGGTGTCTGGTGGGGAGGAAATGCATAAACGGCAGAGAGAAGAAGAAAAGGGAATAAATCCGGTTTTTTAGATTGTAACTCCGTGTCTCGACACATTGGGGGCCGCGGGGAAGGCAACCGCATGTACTCTGTCTTGCCTCTAAGTCTTACACATCTCACACCCCCCTCCTTCTCCCTACTCTTCTCTCTTCCGACCGGTCTTCCTATTCCTACGGATGCTCTTTCGCCCTTGGCGAGCCCTACGGATTATGGGATGAAAGGAATGGAAGCGAAGGAATGCATGTCAGAACTTAGATCGATGGGCGATGGACGATGGGCGATGGGCAGCCCAACACGCGCGGCGGGTACGGCTACTTGCCTTCCTACCTCTATCTTTACGTACACCTTCCTAAGGTACCTGCCTACCTACTGCTTCGTTCTACCTCATAGGTTCAAGTTCATTCATAGGAACGAGAGAAGGATCCGGAACAGTTTCCTCATGCAGGAGAGGCGAGCGTAAGGTACCTCCGTACAGTCCTACAGCCAACAGAAGAACAAGTCAGCATTCTACCTACCCATCCTCAGAGACTTAGAGTCGTTCCCGTCCACCCGTTTCCTCTCCACCCTCCGTCCCCATCCCTTACCTCGGACGTGTCGATTAGCGCCCAGGGCGGAAAGCTGGGCTGGACTGGGCGGGGCTGGGAAACCAACTTGAGCCGCATGACTCGGGGTTTCGCTGGATGCCCACCCAGCTCCGGTTCTCCCTCCCAGTGAACGGACCGGTCGCACGCTGTCGGTGTATTTGTAGGTAGGTGTGGTTTGTGGGATTCTAGTGTGGGACGTGTGAAACTGTGTATAGTGGTGTAAGTGGTCGTCGTGTCGTCGTGTCGTCGTGTATGTCGAGTGGGCGAGCAAAGACGATAGAGCCTCACGGCTGCTTGCTGCCGCTGCCGCTGCCGCTGCCGTTCCCCTCGAACAGCCGCTGGTCAGGCTAGGGGTTTGCTCCAACACACGCCAGCCGAAACTCATGGTTGAAGCAGCCACAGGCGCGTAGACGGGGAGGTACTGGGGGCTGGCGGCTCGGTCGGTATAGAAGCGCGCCTGAGTTGGTTGCTTGGCCGCATCGTGGGAGGACTCTGCGACGGAGAGTTGCAGCGCGGCATTGGGGACTGGACTAGGATGGTATCCTGTTGCATAGATCACGGGGGAAGAAGGTTGTCGTCTCTCCTGTGCTTGCCAGCTTCAATTCTCGAGTGGGATTCGGGATTATGGCGGTTTATTCGGAGCTCGGTGATCCTGTGAGACTGGCATCTCTCTTTTCGCCGATGGTGGCATAAGGTAAGTAGGTAGGTAACTAGTTCCTGCACTATGAGGGGAGTGACCATTTGAATTGGAATGAGGGTACAGCAAATTGGTATCAATGCAGAAACTATCAAAAAGTGCCAGGTCATGACTATGGATTATATCCTGTTCTCGTTCCCGCTCAAGTATGCCGGCCAACTATATATCCGCAAAAAAGAAAAAAATGATAGTCTTTTTCATCAAGTCGCATTACTCCTTCGCGAACTTCCTGATCGTAGAAGCAGAAAACTCCGGCCGTGGAAGGCCAAGCAACTAGAATGTAAAAGAAAAGGTATCTATAAAAGAAGGGAAAAACCTCAATGAAAACATGAACAAGCCTTGAACTACCGAGATGCCAGTTTGAACAACTCCAAAGTAGCAAGTAACGTATAGATGATCAACAACAACCATGAAGACTGGGTGACGGAGTGTAAATCACTCTTCGTCCTCACCCTCAGCATCTTCATCGGAGCAGACTGCAACAACAATTTCCTTGTGAACAGTTGAGTTTGTGACGGTGCTGCTGCTCCCCTTGCCGTTGCCAGCAGAGGGACCAACCTCTCCCTTGAGCGGGTTAATGAGTTCCCATTCGGCTGTCATGTTTCGTGTCCGCCGGACAACGTAGACATCAGCGCTGGAAGCCCATTGTGTGAGTGTAAGGTCGTGCTCTCCGCCAAAATGGACCATAGGCTCCTTTCCCTCGGCGGCGCGCTCGAGGTGTCGCGCAACGTGCTCCATGCGTTCATCCCAAGCCTGGGGTCCGTTGAAGTCGTGACCGCAGTCGGCAGCGGGACAGCGCATATATCTCGGAAGATCGCAGCGAATCTTCTCCGCGTCCGTCTGGAGAGCCTTGAGATTCTCGTCCCACTCAGGGGTGGGCTTCTTCTGCTTCTGGGCCTTCCGTACATGTGGCGGCACATGCATGCGGCGAACGTGTTGTGTGTAGAGATCTTTGCGGTTGAAGATGGCGCCGTTTGGTAGAGCGGGTGGCGTTGGTGTGACGGAGCAGGAGGAGGAGGAGGAACGTCGGTTGGTGGGAGGGTTGGTAGTTTTGGAGCAGCCGTCTTGCTCGCAGAGCCAGTACTGGAGAGCCAAGTGTTGAGAGCTTACGTGACGCTTCCATTCGTTCTTGCTGGCAAACGTGGATGGGCAGCCAGCGTAGTTGAAGACGCACACAAAGGGGCGGGTATGATGTTGCTTCATGTGCTTCTGGTGGGTGCTCTCGTCGGAAAAGGGGGTGTTGCACTCTTTGCAATGGATTTTGGGGTTCCTCATCGACGAAAGTGTTGCGTTCAGTCTCGTTGAAGATAGACTACCGATGTCGTTGTTAACCTTGGACCGCTTTCGTTCATGAGACGAACCGGAGGGGCGAGCCTGAGATCTGGCCGTGGTGTTACGGGAACGTTTTCTCGAAGGCTTTGGCTTGTAGTCCAGGTCTTTGTCGTCGTCAACGGCAAGAGGCTCGGCCTTGATCTCTGGTTCAAAGATATTTGTACCGTTCGATTCAGGATCAGGGTAGTTTGGATGGAATGGTAGGTCGGCCATGGGTGCCTCCTGCTTGATGACGGGCTCTGGGGTGATTTGCCGTGACGATAAAGTTGAGTGCTGGGCAATACTGGCCTCATCAGACTCTGAGCAGCAGAAGCTGAAGGTTGCAGTATCAAAGCCCGTTGGGACTACCTCCTTCTCGAACATGTCGTTCACTTCGTAAGGATTAACACAAATATTCCCTTGCATATTCATTCCAAAGAGCGTCTGGGACTGTAGTTGGGGTTCCCAGTTTCCAAAGACCTGCTTATGCTGCAAGAAAGGAGAAGTGGCTGAGTGGTCCGGAGGAGTTGCGGGTAGGACGTCACTCTCCGTGGGTGGGCTATGGGAATCACTGCTGGACAGCGTCTGCTGAGAACACGGGGAACCGTGTCTCCTCTGTGAAGCTGGAGGTAGAGGGTTTGACTCCTTGGTAGATTGGCTTACACCGAGCAGAACTGGGGCATTTTCATGGACGAAGAAGGCTGTTCGTGGTCCATCCATGTATTGTTGAATCTGGTGGGTTTGATGTGTCGGCCATGGAGTTTGGCATTGCGAATGGGAGAAGGATCCAAGGCTAGGGTCGACTGGTGTCGGGGAGCTCGAGGTTGTTGAGCTTCCAAAGTAAGCCATGGGCATCTGGCTGTAACTCTGTTCTTCGTAGTAAGGTACCTGGTCTTGGGTAAAATGTCCTCCATGGACATTGTCATAGTAATAGGCCATGTTGCGTGCTTGCTCGAAATGAAAGATCCGAGGTTCCAGTGGTAGTTAACTCCGACGGGCCAGGACAGAATCCTGAATATAGACCTTCTTGAAAGGGAAAACGGTAAAGGGGTATCCCAATGGAAAGACGTTGTAGTGTTGATCCGATCGTACTAGGTAATATATCCAAGGCTAGACCAAAGGGTTGTTGATGTTGGAAAGTTGACGGATGTGCCGCGGACTAAGACGAAAGGACGAGGCAGTTATAAGTGAGTGAACAATGCAACAAGTGTAGGAATCTAGAGAGTTGCTGCTTCCGTGCTTGGTCTGAACAGCAAGAGACACGATAATGTCATCGGAGAGCGACCAGCGTGGCGGAGCTTGATGTATATAAGTCAATGAGGTGGGTTGACATATCGGTAGCACAGGGGATGCGGCAGGGCAGTCGCCTAGGCGCACCCAGCTCCAAAAGCTCTGGGAGAGCACTGGGGAGAGCAAGAAACCCCGTGAGAACGGATACGTATTTTTTGCAGAGCCTCATGTGGGCCAGCGAGGAGTGCGAGAGGGCAGATTGAGAGACGAGGAGGAAGAGGCAAGGATTTGCGGTGGAGGGCCATCATCATCAGGCGCTGCAGAGCGCATATGCACACCCCTGGAGCCAGGACTGTGGCAGGGAATACGTGTGGTTACGGGCTGGCACACCATCAGGGACTAGTCTCTAGTGGCTGCAGCAGATGTATGTATTTTTCTGTATAAAATTATACAGTTCTGGTCTGGCTGGTCCAGCTCCGCTTTGGGGGCCGGTTCGCGAACCACTGTCCGGTCAAGGGTGGTAGATGGAGGGTGGTGTTGAAAGAGAGAGGACGAGGGGAGCCGCCAGGGCTGCGGCTGCGCCTGGTTCGGAAGACGAACCCATGGCCAACGGGACGGGTAGCTTCTGAGCTTGCCTCTGATGGGTTGATTTCGCCATGGCATCCGTTGCCTCCAGGCAGATACCACTGGGTTGCCTTACTCGAAGTTGCCTTGTCTCTGACGAATGGGAAATGACTCCAAAGAACCATCACCGAAGCTCGTCAGCGAATTGCAGTGTCAGTGTCTGCGAGTCGACCCAGGTTGACAACGCAATCCTCGACAGATGGGTCAACAGTTGCGAGACACACTGTCTGTCCCAACCCTTATTTTGACTGCCTCAGCCGCCGCCACAAGGAGGTTGTGTCTGTCAAGAGAGCACTGCGGACGTCACTGATGATCCTTGTTGGGGATGGCCGGTCAGCTGTGTTTCTGTGATATTGGCACTTGGACGTGCTAAGTCGGTCCTCCACAGGCCAGGTAGTTGATCCATTTCAGCAAGTCTGAGCTAGGGGGTTGAATTATGTCGAGCAAGATTTGCATCTGTACGACGTCCTGCAAGTGTCGGACCCTCTCGATTTCATGGATGACGGTCCGGGTCGAGAAGCTGCTTGGCTTGCTTGGATAGCGTCAAAGGGGTTCAATAGGTAAGACGTGGGAAGAAGGTGTGTGCCGGGTGTTCAGTTGAGGAATGAGGAACGAGGAGTCGGTCGAGACTCGAGATACTTGGCTTCTCCGCAACACCTTTACCAGGTAATCGAAGACATCCCTGACTGGCCAGATGGCGAGATGAATACCGAGCAAAGGTCTCAGGGCGGCATAGAGGCCATGCGCCAGGTGGTCATATCCCCATTTTCCTTGGAAGTGATGAAGGTACGGAGATTGACAAAAGCAAAAATGACGGAGCAGGGGAGAGATGATGGGCGAAGAAGGTAGCAGGGACCGCGCACTCGCGCAGGAGAGAAACAACAGGGGAGTGAAGTTGAAATGGGAGATTCTAGACAGCGCTTGGCCAGGTCATGTCTCGGATCGGAGGATGTCAGAATGTCAGAATGTAAAGCTGCCGTAGCACGTAGCTGGTTTGCCTTGAGGTGGTCGGTCCATGGTTGAAAGTGACGGATACTATGAAGGTAGTGTAGGATGGTGTCTAGGGGCCCGTTGCGGTGGAGAGGAGCGGACAGGAGTCTACTGTGGTACCACTCCACGTAGGTAGGAGGAGCATTGGTAAGTTGACGGGTGGAGGAGGGATGGGGCAAGACGGAGACGGAGGGTGGAACGGACGGAGCCTGGTTGCGTGTGATGAAGATAGAGAGAGAGAGGGAAAGGAAGAGAGACATTCGGAAATCCAAGACTCAGGAGAGACAGACAGAAGGAAGTACAGCCTAGGATACGTATCAATACCTAGGTAGGCCTAGTCTATAGTAGCTATCGGAAGGTATTCACACACCTGCAGGCGCAGACGTATGCTAAGGTAGCGATTGCGCGGGTTGAGGGTAGAGGGTTGACAGCAACTGAGCGCAAGGTATCGCATCGCGCAGCTGCGCGAGAGTTCCGCTTGACGTGTCCTGGCCATTGGTCCCATGGACCCATGAGGCATACCTACTCCCGAAGAAGGCGACCGCAGGCTGACTAGCGCAAGTCGCAAAAGGACTGGGCATATGAGTGAGTGGTGAAGGTGGGGGAGACACTGAGCGAGATGGGAAGAGGATCGAGGGATTCGAGAGAAGACAGTCGAGCAGAATTCCAGATACGGACCCCACCTCACCGTCGATGGCTCCATGAGTCCCTTACGATGTACTGCACAGTAGTGTATGTGTTTCTTTCTCCCTCCATGGGGGCCTGTAGACGAAAGATGGCGCCTTCATCGATGCAACTTGTTCGTTGCCTGGGGTATTGGATACTGCCTTATGGGAAGAAGGTATCCGCGTTTACTCAGCAGGTACGGAGGAGGTAGTAATGTACTGATTACCTGCGAACTGATGGGCAGGCTTTACGTAAGGCAAGGAAGGTGAGCTAAGCAAATGCTACGCAG